CATCCTCCGTTGGTCCATCTCCATCCAACCATCACTCATAAACAAGATATCCTCCGTTGGTCCATCTCCATCCAACCAGCACTCATAAACAAGACACCCTCCGTCGGTCCATCTCCATCCAACCATCACTCATAAACAAGATACCCTCTGTCGGTCCATCTCCATCCAACCATCACTCATAAACAAGACACCCTCCGTTGGTCCATCTCCATCCAACCATCGCTCATAAACAAGACACCCAGATGCTCAAACTCGTCCATGTGCCTTGCAGGTCTTTGCCTGCTAAACAGCACATTATATTTTGAACATGTTTGACAGCAATAGAAGATCCCGGTAGTCCCCTGACGCATGCTCATAGTCTCTTACATACATTTTTGGCACGACAGTTTGGCAGCAGGTTCTGTAGTTAAATGTTTTTACTGAATCTGGTTAGAAAAGTAAATGCACATGAAAGACTTCTCCCTATGGTTGGTACTTCCATTTAATGTATAACAGTGGGAGTTTCTGGATCCTCTTTAATTTTAGCCATTTAGTTGATGACTGAATATGCATTTTTCTGAGAAAATGCTAAAAAGTAAAACTGTGTGATCTCACACATACGAGAAGGCATGCAGTTTAAAGTGACACTTAAAAGTTGACGCCTTTTCAAGCTTGGCTCAGCACCGAGACGTTTTTGACAGGAAAACCATCCGTCGGTCCAACTCCAAGTGGGTAGGTTTGTGTTTTTTCTCCCTCAACTGCTTATTTATGCACGTTGCACTAATCAAAGGTTTGCCTGTTTTTGTACTGAAACGCTTTAAAAAATATGAAAAACAAGCGAACATTTAATGTTGTTATGCTTTGATATTTTTATGTGTACATTTATATTTCTGCTCATGTAGTGAACAGTTTATACAAAATGTAATAAATCTATTGTAACATTCCACTTCAAAAGTTATGGTTTATTTCACAAACATTTTTTTTTAAATAAAACTATTATAAAATGAGCATTCCTTTAAGGCAAGTAAAAGTTTTAAACAATCCAAGTTACTGCACCATAGTTTATGTCAAAATACGCAATATTGATTGAGTTATGGTTACTGGCTACTGTTCGCTAAGGTTAATTAAAACCTCTTGAATCAATGCAACTACAAAATTTAATCAGTTATTGATGTACATTCAGTGATTACTTTCTGAGACTTTCATTAAAATTTGTGCACTGGTTTTTAAAAGATGTGTGTATATATACAGGTCCTTCTCAAAAAATTAGCATATTGTGATAAAGGTCATTATTTTCCATAATGTAATGATAAAAATGAAACTTTCATATATTTCAGATTCATTGCACACCAACTGAAATATTTCAGGTCTTTAATTGTTTTAATACTGATGATTATGGCCTACAGCTCATGAAAACCCAAAATGCCTGTCCCCAAAAATTAGCATATTTCATCCCACCAATGAAAGACAAGTGTTTTTAATACAAAAAACGCCAACCTTCAAATAATCATGTTCAGTTATGCACTCAATACTTGGTCGGGAATCCTTTTGCATGAATGACTGCTTCAATGCGGCGTGGCATGGAGGCAATCAGCCTGTGGCACTGCTGAGGTGTTATGGAGGCCCAGGATGCTTCGATAGCAGCCTTAAGCTCATCCAGAGTGTTGGGTCTTGTGTCTCTCAACCTTCTCTTCACAATATCCCACAGGTTCTCTATGGGGTTCAGGTCAGGAGAGTTGGCAGGCCAATTGAGCACAGTAATACCATGGTCAGTAAACCATTTACCAGTGGTTTTGGCACTGTGAGCAGGTGCCAGGTCGTGCTGAAAAATGAAATCTTCATCTCCATAAAGCTTTTCAGCAGATGGAAGCATGAATTACTCCAAAATCTCCTGACAGCTAGCTGCATTGACCCTGTGCTTGATAAAACACAGTGGACCAACACCAGCAGATGACATGACACCCCAGTGACTGTGGAAACTTGACACTGGACCTCAAGCAATGTGAACTCTGTGTCTCCTCTCTTCCTCCAGACTCTGGGACCTTGATTTCCAAAGGAAATGCAAAATTTACTGTAATCAGAGAACATAACTTTGGACCACTCAGCAGCAGTCCCAGGCGAGATGCTTCTGCCGCTGTTTCTGGTTCAAAAGTGGCTTGACCTGGGGAATGCGGCACCTGTAGCCCATTTCCTGCACACGCCTGTGCACGGTGGCTCTGGATGTTTCTACTCCAGACTCAGTCCACTGCTTCCGCAGGTCCCCCAAGGTCTGGAATCGTCCCTTCTCCACAATCCTCCTCAGGGTCCGGTCACCTCTTCTCGTTGTGCAGCGTTTTCTGCCACACTTTCCCTTCCCACAGACTTCCCACTGAGGTGCCTTGATACAGCACTCTGGGAACAGCCTATTCGTTCAGCAATTTCTTTCTGTGTCTTACCCTCTTGCTTGAGGGTGTCAATGATGGCCTTCTGGACAGCAGTCAGGTCGGCAGTCTTACCCATGATTGCGGTTTTGAGTAATGAACAAGGCTGGGAGTTTTTAAAAGCCTCAGGAATCTTTTGCAGGTGTTTAGAGTTACGTCGTTGATTCAGATGGTTAGGTTAATAGCTTGTTTAGAGAAACTTTTCATGATATGCTAATTTTTTGGAACAGGCATTTTGGGTTTTCATGAGCTGTATGCCATAATCATCAGTATTAAAACAATTAAAGACCTGAACTATTTCAGTTGGTGTGCAATGAATCTGAAATATATGAAAGTTTCATTTTTATCATTACATAATGGAAAATAATGACCTTTATCGCAATATGCTAATTTTTTGAGAAGGACCTGTATATATATATATATATATATATATAAATATATATACTCTGTATTTACATATATATTATACTGTATACATATGTATATATATGTATGTGTGTATATATATATATATATGTATGTATATATATGTATATGTATGTGTATATATATATATATACATTTTGAATCGGGTCGACTCCAGAAGTTAATCAGTTGTAGATGATGTACAACAAAATACGTCCACTGGTTAAAGAGATATTTTGTTAACCAACGCACGCTGGAAATCATCTGATTGCCTTTTTAAAGCAACAGGACATAATAAACACAAAAAATGGTTCAAACATCTTAACATATTTATTAATGAACAATATAAATAAAAAAGTGCATAGAAAATTAAACAGGTTTAGAAATATATATACAAATATTTACAAACTCAAGGGTTTTTTTGTACACAGTAACAAAGACAGAAATTTAAAGAGCACATTTTCTCATTTGTATGTCTTTTACACTTTAAAATAATCCTAATATATATATATTTATTTTTTATTTATATCTATATATAGTTGTATGCGTGTGTATATTTGTATATATTGATATAACATACAGCTTTTTTCTTGTTTTAAACAAATCCTGGGATGGTCGTAACGTCTGTGTATGAATAGTGCCGCTGCATCCATGAACACACACACAAACACAGGAAAAAGAATAAACACACACGCACATATACGGATAATAAAACCGAGCGATTCTTTTTAAATCTTCAGTCTGTTTTTGCATCAGTATTCCCGAACATCTGTGTGAAACAGCTGAGGTAGAATCCTTGCAAGGAGTTGGGAGTGACTCTGCTCGTGATCACTACGTTAACCTGGGCTCCGTCCCAGTGACTGGACATGCGAGAGCAGGAAAATGATACAACTTGCTCCATCAGGTTGAGAGAAGAGATGCGGAAAGAAACAAAAAAATAAAGAAGAGTTGGGCTTGAAGTAGGATAACAGTGCTCACTTTTACTCCTGTGGCTGATTCTAAGACAGTCAGTATTATCTACGATTAAAAAAATATTATTAAAATGTTTCTTAATAAAAAAAAAAAATTAAAAAAAAGTTTTGTCATGAAGGCCACGACACAAGTGTCTCAAAACAAAATTTCAAGTAAATAACTGAAATGAAGGACATCATCTGTAAAAAATAAGATGCCAAAGAGGGAACTTTAAACTGCCACCATCTACACACAGCACAACCGTTACAATAAAAAATAAAAATAAAACACGAATAAATACAATTGAAACAGTGTGATTTCAACTCGCCTCGTTACTGAACTCACGTTACACATTATTTTAAAGGTGCTGAATGCTTTTTCAGCTCTGCGTCATTTACATCCACAGCTGAACACTCAGTAGCAAATGTCTCCCCCCCCTCAGCGCTCTCCCTGATTAGAGGAACTGTAGCAGGTTTCACAATCATCATTTCGACGTTGGGCGTTTATTAGAGTGCAACTGCAGCAAACCACTTATTGCAATAAGTAACGAGCATCTGCCTACAGAATAAAATATTTATTTAAAAGGGTAATTCCTCCATAATTCTTCGCTTTTGGCTTGGGTAGTGTTTGCTACATACTCTGTATACTCATCAAAAAAAGAAAAAGTCTTTTAAGACACACTTTATATGCGTGTGTCTACGTCACTGACTGAAAGCAGTTCTTCGCGACGACCAATTAGGAAGAAAGTGGATGAAAAGACGAGTGGCAGTGAATGGAAATCTTCGCACGGTTCAAAAAAACGTTAGCTTGAGTGCATAATCCGACTACGAGTGATCTCAGCAGGGAGAAGATACGGCTATACAGTTCCTGATTCGCGAGATGTTCGAGTCCGACTAAAGACAACAGCTTTCAAAGCTTAGCACCATGGTTTAGTTATTCACAAAATGTACATCTTAAAAAAAAAAAAAAAAAGAGAGAACGTTTTAAGGAGTTGAATGTGAGGAAGATGAAACAAAAACAGGTTCGGGTGAACGTATGGCTCATGAACAGACTTCACCACTGCACGGATGGGGGGAGAGGGGTGCAACGAAAGCACCTGTCACCAGAAGATGGAGCGGTCGTAACAATACGTGTTCAATGGACATCTCCCTCCTAGAAATAAATAAAACAAGGAATCAAGCTGTGAAGATTTTCAGTGATGATTCAAACATATAAGGCTTGGCGAGTGTACCAGAATCATTTTCTGCTGGCGTCCGATTCCTTTGAATTTATGACCGTATTTCCGTTAGAACTACTGCGCTGTCAGAAATAGTAAAACCACATCCTTGACAACTGCTGTGTGGGCTCAGGTGTGGGTGACAGAATTCTCTCTATCGCAACTTTCATAGCTGCGTGCATTGTCTGCAGCTTCAACGCAGAGCCACATTCAGTTAAGGCAAAAAAATAAAAAATAAAAAAAGGCGGGAACCCCACTCCTTTTTTCGCTCCTCAGTTAAGGAAGCGCCGACATCGCCGGGCCCCGCAGTTACAGCCCAGTTTGTTGCTGGCGTCTTCAATGGGGAACTTGTAGTCGTAGGTGAGCTCCTCCCCTCTGTAGATCTTCCGGAGCGCGAAGATGACGATGTGCTTCCGACCTTCCACGTTGATCACTCGGGAGTAGCAGTTGGGTTCGCAGGAGTGGTTGATGAACCTGGCTGCGTTGCCGTGCATGGTCGCGTCCACCACGTCGAAGTCGTCGATGCGGAACATGTAACAGCCAATACCCTGAAAAGACAAAAACATTAGCTCGCACATGCTCAATGCGCAGACGTGAGCTAGGTTAAGAGAAGCTGATCAGAAAGGCTGCAGCGAGACAAACCTTGCCATCGTAGTACTTTTCTCTTTTGTCGGTGAGCACAGAGCGAATGACGATGCCGGCGTACTCGATGACCATCTCCCCTGACTCGATGTTCCTCTTACAAAACAGACCGCGCCCATGAATAGCAGACCTGCATAGAAAAAATAATTAAAAAAATCGGTTTAAGATTCCAAAAAAGCATTTAATAAAGTCATGATTTCTGAATTTTTGTAGTTAGGATAAGAATTAATGTGATCAACATGAGCAGCTTTTATTTTGTTAACACCAGCACCTGGTAGTGACAAGCCAAGCCCTTTAAACAACAAAACAACACTTCAGTCCTAGGATTTGTTTATGCCATCATAGTTTATTTTGAAAGGGTTATCAAGTGGCAACTATGGTTCTGTGTGAGCTTAGCTAGGCCTGTCACGATTAATTTTGCTGGGCGATTAATTGTCTCAGAAATTATTGCGATAAACGATAATATTGTTTGAAATTTCATGATAATTAGTAATTATTGTCAAATTTAAGAAGAAATGTTTAATTTGTTTTGCGTGTAGTGCTTTTTTCGACCACCGGATTGCAATATAAGACTGAACTGAAGGATGGATAGTGAGGGAGCGAGCAGCGTGTTTAAAAAAAAATGGGAGGGAGACCCCTTGACGTGACATGGGCTGTCTCTCTGTGGTTCCCAAAATGGCGGACGCTCGGTGTGGTTTGAGTTCTTTAACATAACATTTTTCACACAAAGCTTTTAATTAAAAAATCAGTAAACAAGTTCTCAGCTTCTTTTTGCAAAGAAAAACAACTTTTTACATGAAGGCACAGGTTTCAACCGTGACTTTTGGAGCTTCGACAAGACAGTTTTTTTCCTCTGAGGTCGGCCTGTTAGCTTAGCTTCACAACTTAGCTGCTTTTAATTATCCAAAAAATGCAATTTTGGACGGTTAAAATGGATTTTAAAGAGAAAAGAGAAAGGGAGGGGTCAGTGAAGAACACAGGAGTTGAGCCTTTTGTCCTCCAGTGTCTTCAGTAGAAAGAGAGAGACACGAAGAAACGATAAAGCCAATAAATGAAAACGAGGTTGATAATTTTAATTAACATGCGATTAATTGATTTATTGCTTATTGCGACAGGTCTAAGCTCAGCTTTAATTCCATTTGAAGAAATATAGAATAATTAATGAATATACTTTTTTTTTTTTGTCTGGATGCAGACTCAATAATCCAGGTAGGAAAATCTAACAAAGTTAAGTCGGATCCTCTGGACAAATGCAAAAAAAATAAACATCTTTTATTGAAACATTTAGTCTTTAATCCAAAAGACTGTCAGTCTGAAGAGCTGCGACAAAGGGTATCAGGGGACTAACAGTTGGTCGTTAGGCTGATGGTCCTTTATCATGAACAGCCAGTTTTGGATGTCAACAACAAACTGCTTGGTCCACTGTGCTAAGACTGATGGAGATGTGAAAGGTCACAGATGTTTTCCCACTTAATGTCAAATGTATATGAACCATGTGTGTGTGACAGCTGTTTTGTCTGTACAGAGTGGAGCTGCAGATGAATGGAACCTTTCATCTGATAAGCTGGAAAGCAGCTGCCTGACCTCGCAAGACACTTCTTTATGCTCTCTGGACACAAAGCAACATGTCAACATCTTGATGCTTGTTTTTTTCAATGCTGCTTCATCTTGCAAGATTAAACCCTGGGTCAAAAAAATAACTTCTCCTTCCTGTGTGGCTTATTTATTTAATGAGCTATGAGGAGATAATTAAATTATCCAACAAAGACCGAGAGTACTGCAACTCCTCACACTGTCCAAGTCTTTTGAATTAAAGATGAAACATTTCAACAATTATTTTTTACCTTTTGCATTCGTCCAAAGTAGATACTCCTTTTTTTTTGTTTGCTTTAAATTCAATAGTAATGGAGTCTGATAAACAATACCCCACAATTCTTTGTATTAAAAATGCTAAAAAGGCACCTAACATTATATTTTAATGCAAGTCTAAGGAGGGTTTTTAAACAAAAATTTTAAATATATTTTTCATGAATCTTTCAGCAAAGATACACGATCAGTTATTTTCCTGTGGAGCTTCAACTTCCTTACATGCAATATTAAAAATGGATGCAAAAATTTCAAGCAACACAGAATTGCTTTTTTAAACCGTTAATTCATCACCATGTTATAAGATGTATACATCTTGTATCTTAGATCTTTTAGCGTACCGTTTGGAATTCGTTTATCATATATCTTAGTGTACATCTTAGATCTTTATATACCGTTTCTTTTTACACTTTATATTTTTGCTATTTTTGGGTGTAACTACATAATTTTGTTCCACCTCATGTACCACATGTAACAATGACAATAAACTTGGCTTGAACTAACACAACTGGAAAACCTCACACAGTTGTAAATTAAGTTTATTTTATATTGAACGATTTGAATTTTGATGAATTTTCATCACTAAATTGCATTTTAGTGAGACAAAAGTTGGGGTTTAATTAAATTTTGCAATCAAACCTGTAAGTTTTAAGCCCAATCTGAGCAAGACCAGAAAAACACGGCATAAAAACCAGTGACATCTGTGTCAGTTGTGGTTTTGAACACCAAGACATGTTTCGTTTCATTATTTGTAAGAAGATTAGTTTCATTAAAAACAAGACGCTGACATTTCAGCTTGGTGTTAATACTCAAAAGCAGCCTTCTGTTGTTGAACTGGCCTAGTTATGTCAATGTGTTTGCAATCATTACAAGGAGCTCTTGGTTGTTTAGCAGCTGTAGCTGACCTGTAGACCCCCACAGCCTCCTTGGACGTTCTCTCCAGGTGTCTGAAACGCATGGCCATGGGCAACTCCAAACTGGTAGCCCGTCTAAGAAAAAGAGCAAAAGTAACATCACCTATGATATTCACCCTGAAGTGTTTATGCTCTGTGGAAAATCCATTAAGAAAAACACGAAATATAAGTAAAGTGTTTGCTGAAGAAAAGTAAATGACACAATTCTAAAATGTTTTCAAAGTTCTGAAACTGAAATGACGACACCATAGATTTGTGGCAAGACGTTCACGACTCATACAAATCAAGAATCATCACTTCCAGTTTGGCCAGATGTTCCAGTTCACCCACAATACATAGGAACGTGTTCATACTGTGTCATATTTCCTGGTTCGTTTGATTCTCTAACTGTCAACGTACATGATATTGAAAGGGACTTGCACGTGGTCGCCTCTGCTTTACGGGCTAGAAACAACAAGCATTAAAACCACACAACCTGCACTGTTTTATCTTTACCACAGCTTTTGATTTAGACTTACAAATTAAAAAAATGTACAAAATAATTAGTTATGTGTAGTAAAAAGAGCAATGCACCCAAAATAGTTGATATTACATAATGTACCCTATCATTTTACATCTTGTTGGACCATTTTGTGTGATTTAAACATTAATGCCAGTTAATTTTAGCATATTAAATTTTATTCTAATAAAAAATAAAATGCATGCATTGAACATTTTATTACAGAGATCAGTGTTTCCCCTACCGTTACAAAAGCAGCCCCCCCCCCCCCCCCCCACACACACACACAGACACTGACGTAACGCAAAACTAGCGGCTCGCAATGCAGGTGCGCTAGCTAAAAAGCTAAAGGCAGCCTTTGTCCTCATGCTGAAGCCCCCCGCCACTCGAAAACTGTCAGTACAAACAGCACACGGCTCAGGTGTGTCTGCCCCCCGCCCCCCAAAAAACTGTTGGTACAGAGCATGCGGCTGATATGCGTCTCTGTCTCTCTCCTCTCCCTCACCCCTGCACTAAAACTGTAAAACTGTCTGTGCAAACAGCGCGCTGCGTACCTCAGGACGTGTCTCCATCTGCCCCACCCCCACCCGCACAAAAATCACGGACGAGGTCAACGCCCCGCCATGGCAAATTATCTAGGGGAATCGCTGGAGATCAACAACTTGAATGTGATTCTGCACCTGCATCAACACTTCTCGGAGCATTTAGAATCCGAACAGCATTTATTTAATTCATGGCAGAACTGTGTGTGGGCTGTTGCTTTTTTCTGCTATTGAGGCAGGAAAAAAGAAACACTAGAGCAGCATAAAATGGAGCTGATACTGTAACCATGAATAGAGTGTGTGGAGAAAATAGCAATAATAAAACTAAAGTAATGCTGCGCCAGTGTGTTTCCTGGCCTAAAGGCTGCATGTTGAGCCAGACAAAAATAACAGCAATAAAGGCTGACCTCGTGGACTTCAAAAGAACATCATCTTCCTCGTCATCGTAAGGTCCGATATCAGGAAGCTGTCTGTGCTGAGAGGCCAGGAAGTTGAACATGTCAAAAGTAGATTTCCTGTGTAATTAGAGGAAATGAGAGGAAATAAATATTTTCTTTGATGATGGCCACTTTTGAGCCTGGACACTTCTCAGGAATAACAATGATACATTCAACTGCAGTAGAACAGTCACTCTTTAAGGCCGATTCAGAAGATGTCAGCTATTTTTAATAACATTCATGTTTATTTTTTTCTTTTGCATAATCAGTATGACATTTTCCTGTTTGAAGAATTTACCTCGTCAACATGTACTTCAACTAACAAAAACAATTCAATTTGTGAACTAATTTGTCTTAAGCAAACACGGGCGAGATGCAGCTGTGTCTGATACTAACAGATGTTAAATGTAGCAAACATGTGGGTCGAGTCTTTCAGAGGAATAATAAAGACTGCTTTAAGGACAAAAGTCCGAGACATTAAAAAAGTTGACAGGAAAAAAATGCCTGACTTCTAATAAAGGCATGTTCAAATTATACATTTTTGGGGCAAAATGTATGTAAATTTACACATTTTGTAAATCGATTACAGTTGTGAGGTTTCTAGCTAATTTTGGAAGGCTCTCATCTACACCTTTAAAAAAAAATCTGTGCAGGAACGTTCATTTTCTTTAATCTTTAAAGTTGCAGCTAAGACGATGTCAGGGTAGCAGTAATATGCAGACCTACCTAACGTAAAGCTCAGAGCGGACACAGCCACTGGGATTCACGGGCAGATCATCCTCCTGGCTGAACTGTTTGAAGAAACGGAAGGTATGTCGCTGACATCGATGAGCTCCTTCAAGTTGTTCCAGCAGATAAACCACAGCGTCGTGGACCAGTCCAAGCATGTCGGCACCAGTGATCTTCTGGAAGGTCAGAGGCCGGAGTCTGGCTATCGCTCGAGCCTCCTGCACACCATCTATCACTGTTTTCCAAGCCACTGAAAGAAGGGTTGAGAATTAAATGCCACCTATAAGTCACACAATACTCAATTTCATATACATTTAACTTACCCTCTATACTGTCTGCCTCCACAGTGAAACCATCATCGCTGGAGATTTCAAATCTCAGACGCGGCTGCTCTCTGTTAATTGGACATTCTTCGTCATCAACAGATGACGACAGCTCATCGTCTGATGTTGAGGCAGCACCTAACAAAACACATTTTACATAGCCTAGTTTTTGCACACTGTCCTCAACCATTTTAGTTTGTGTGTAAATTCCTGAGCTTGTAAATACCAGAGTACTTCTTCCAGTCTGTGAGATTGTTGTGTCCCACTGGTTCCCATGCATGCTGCTCGCCCTGTTCATCCTGAGACAAATAACTCAAAGGCTCTGACCTGGAAAATAAAATTAAATGTTTTCAATATACAAATCCTGGCATATTTATTGTGTAAAAGTAAACTTTCAACTTAATTTATGGTTTGTTTTGGACTTGAAGCAAGCTCTCCATTAGTAAAACTGTTTGTATTCTAAAACTGCACCGTTTGTTAATGGCAGTGAGCTCTAAGTGCCAAATTTGGCTAATGTTGTTTGTGTAAGCTGCATGTCAAATTCCATTTCTCAACAGAGATCTCTTAACATGTAGAGCAGCTACAACCACATAATTATTCAATCAGAAACTGCAGCTTAAGAAATCAACAAGTCAAACATTTTAAATGTCTGTTATTATTCAAAAACATATCTTTAAATCTGCCTATTTTAACTAGTTCAGTCAAAAAAAATCGTGCACATCTATACAAAAAAACCCCTGCTTTTAATTAAAACAAAAATGCTGATGTCCCATGTATAAAAACCATCCAAACCACTGCTGGTGCCAAGCACTAACCACAGTGGTTTAGTGGTTGGCACTGTTGCCTCACAGCAAAAACATTTGGACCTGGGGTCTTTCTCCTTGTGTGGGTTTTCTCCAGGTACTCCGGTTTCCTCCCACAGTCCAACAAAACATGCACGTTAGGCAAAGATGCACCGATCCAATACCAATATCGGTACCGACATGGAAAAAAACTTCTGGATCGGGTATCAGTGACAATGTGACCGACCCATGACTGGGCAGATCTATTCACTCTAATTCTGTGCTTTGTGCTCCAAGTGATGTCACGTGCTAGCGAACTCGCCACACAGACTGTTTTCAAAATGGAGTGAGCGAAAGGATCAGCCATCTGGAACTATTTTACCTCAGCCAACACATTCGACAGCTACGTGCAATACGTGCACAGCGACGGTTCCAGGGGGTGTCACTAAAACTTCCAGTTATAGCACTACCAACTTAATCAAGCATCTCTAGAGATTTCACCCTAAAGAGCACACTGAGTTTGTTGAACGAGATTCAGCACTGTTTTTCTGTATCAGATCGGCACCGGCAGATACTAAACCTCAGATATCGGTATCGGAAGTGGAAAACGCGAATTGGTGCATCCCTAATGTTAGGCTGCCTTCAGGCCCAGACCTCCTTTGCAGAAGGGATCTGTGATCTTAATGGGAACTGTCTGATGAAATAAAGGTAAATAAAATAATAACTTACCCTGAGCTATCGGAATCACTCATGTGATTCATGTCCTTTAGCTCATCCAGGTTCAGGACTCCTTTCACTGTTGGGGTTTTGATGCGAACTCCTGAGGCTCTGCTGGAGATGCTGGGAAAAGCTGCCTCTGCGTGCTCCTCGTCCTCACTGATGGACTCTGGCTGCAAGAAGTCAACTTTCGACTTCTTGGTGACAATGCGATCCGAAAGCGACGACACTCTTTTCATGCGGACGTGGGTACGAGGACGAGGTGCAGGAGCTGGTGGTGGCGAAGGAGAGTGTGGTGACACTGGCGGCTCTGGTTCAATTAAAAGGCCAGGTGGTAAAACCAGGGAGGAAGGACTCATGGTTTGGAGCCCGCTCCACTTAGGGGTGTAGTTACTCGCCATTGCTTGATTAATAATGGCCTGGGCACTTTCAGCAGGAGTTACAGGATGAGTTTCTGTAGACAAGGAAGCCTGCCCTGCTGCCTTGGACGACTTGGATTTTTTTGATGAATTAGACTCCTTCTTTTTCTTTGGTTTTTTCATCTCTGGTACGGTTTCATCTTTTGGTACTTTGAGGTTTTTTCTTGACTTTTTCACATTTGACAATGCCACTGCACCGTTATTATTGTTGCTGTTGGTCAGCAGCTGAGTGACTGTAGCTGGATTCTGCACAGCAGGTGTGACTGACGCAGTGACAGCTGCCATGTTGGCGCTGGGCGGTGCTGCCATCATGTTACCAGCAGCCGCCAGCGTGGCTGAAAGTGCGTTACTCTGCAAGAGGTTGGCAATTTGAGAAACACAATTGTAGGAGGGGGAGTTGGGAGTGGGTAGCTGGAAGGTGTTACTTTCAGGGTTCTTCACAAATATCTGACCGAGCCGGTTCACCAGAAGTACATGTGGCGTAGGATCAACATTCGGACCTCCTACCTCCTTAACAGTAAGGATAGCGTGACCTGGTAACGCCTGGGACAGCACTGGTTGCTGAGGTTCCATAGCTGGCCTGGGTGTGGAGAAGTTGATGGAGATTGTGTGACCAGCCGTGGCTTCCTTTGGCACAGACGAAGAGCTATAACCATTCAGGATAATGGGGGCGGCAGTGGTATGTAATGGTGTTGGAGCAGTTGAACAGAGTGTTGATACTAAAGGGGTGGAAGAAACAGTGGTGACAGCTGCAGAGCTGAACTGCTGTGTTTGTGAGGGGTATGCAGAAATGGAAATGGTAGCACAAGTTTCTGCTGGGGGACAAGTCCCCAGCATTGCTGGTAACCCTGGATTATTTGGATTTGCAACGTTTAGCTGCATTTCCGTCACATCTTCCACAGGAGTGAGGTTCGTTAGATTAGCAGAGAAAGGCTCGACGAGAGGCAAGTTTGTCGTTTCTTGTGTTGCCGTCACCGGCTGAAGCGTAATACTCCTGAGAGGAGGCTGACTGAAACCTGGTAAACAAGAATACAACTCAAGAGAATCATCAAGGCATTGTGAGGGGTTTTGGCCATCAGAAGACATTAAAGGAGAAGGTTCAAGGAGATCCAACAGAGAGCTCTGGGTTATTTCGGCAGACTCTGCTAACAAGGGTTCAATCCTATTAGATGCCAAGTGGTTCATCAGCACAGTAGACCCCTTAAATACAAAGCTGTTACTTTCAGGGTCTTTACAAGCCTCGGACTGGTTTGGAGTATCTTGTAGCACAGGAAGTAGTTCTGTGAAATACGGGCTACTGTCACATCTCTCAAAAACAAGAGGTGTTTCAGGGGCAAAACCTACACTGGAACCTACAAATGTCTCCTCTGAATACGTCTCAGGCACCTTTGTGAGTAAATTAGGAAGACAGTGAACAACTGGAGCGAGTATGTTGTTTTGATCGACTGAAGGGGTGGCTGAGCTTTCGCTGGCATCACGAGGAAAAGGCAAACGCTGAGGTGAACGGTCACTTGTACTTCGTTTGGAAACTAAAACAGCAACTGAAGATTCTGTTTGTTTATCATTTAATGAAGTGTTGGGAGGTGTTTTGCTATTTGTGGTTTCAGAAGCATTTTTATTTTTAAGGATTTTGCTTTGCATCTGTTTTTTGTCAGATTCACCCATTTTCTGAGTATCTTCAGTAGTTGCTACACTCGCATCACTCTCTGTACCATCATCTATGCCATCCAGCTGCGCCAAGGGCCGCGAAGAAGAGGAGGAAGGGGACTTGGACCGATCTTTTGATAGTGGGCGGCTGACTATTGTTCGTGAAAAATCAAAATAGTGGTCCATGTCATCATCGGAGGACGTGTTTCCTAAGTCTTCCTTGCCAGAGGCTGCAGATCGTGGAAGATTTGCGACAAGGTTTTTCTTCTTGTGCACTTCTTGGGTTCTTCCCCAGAATTCCTCCTGATCCTCACCTTCCACCACTATCTGACCCCCACAGTTCATAGCCACTCCTTCATTCAGAAGTGTTTCTTCAATCTCAAGTTCAGCCCGCATCTCCTCACCCAGACTCATATTGGAATCTCTGTGGAACGAACTGTAGGAAAAATCTTTGTTGTGTTTGCTCATGTCTCCATGGGGTGATGTACCATTTGTTGGAGAGATATCTTCAGGTTCTGGGGAAGCCAAGAAGTTGTGTGGTACCTCCACAGAGTCTGACTGGTTTAGTTCAAATGACAAACGATTTCTGGGTAAATGTTGCAAGGATGAGGAGTAAGGCAAACTTATAGAGGCTGAAGTGTCCTGCCAGTGAGAATGAGGAAAGAATGATGAGGTACAATGTGTTGATGTATTCCCATGGCAACGACCCGAGGAGGCGTTTCTTGCTCCGACTGAGCGGGATGACAGACAGTTCATGGAGTTGTCTGACAGCGGGAACAGTGGAGAAGTAGGCAGGGTAGATTTGACAGAGCGAAGGGTAGCAGGTCCAGTTAGAGGAGCCAGAGGTGGGGGAGACATGCGACCACGAAGACCCGATGACTGAGAGTGTGGGCTATGGCGACGAGCTCTTCGAGTCTCTTCCAGATCACTTACGGTCAGAATGTGGTGGGGTTTTGTCTGGATTAGACCTAAAAGTAAAAACAGATTTGATCATTAGATCAAGACTTGTATGTCAGTGAAGTCGTACAAAAATATGAATATACAAAACAGAATAAAACTGGTATCTTACCTGGAGATGGAAGAGGTCGGGACAATCCTCCAGCTGGTCTTCTGGGAAGGGGGTGAGCGGGAACTTTTGGCTTTGCATTGTGGTCTGACTTCAAGGGAAGACCTGGGACAAAACTTTCTTCGGCTGGGGGTTGAGTTTCTGACACTTCACTTTCTTGGGCTTCAGATTCTGAAGATTCAAAGATACAGTTTAAGAAACTATTTCTACTTTTTACTGTGAAAGTTGTGTCACTTCACACTTAAGAATACTTTAACTGTATAAACTTTCTCACCAGGTAGTTGATGGGGGCTGTGAGCGATGGTTTGGTTTTCCCCTTGGTCAGGCATTTCTTCAACAGGCTTCTCTGGGACTATGGGCCGGACTTCTCGGACTGTACATGTATATCTGCAACGCCTTGATGGATTCACTGTACTCCAGTACCACCGTGAACACCTGAAAGAGAAAATAATCATTTGTAAAGTTAATGTGTGCAATTTTAGGTAATGCATAATCAGTGGTGGGCATAGATCGACTAACAGCTAATAACAGAACTATTTTTTTGTTTAGATGATTAGAGTTTTAACTAGGGCAGCACGGTGGCGCAACTGGTAGAGCTTCTGCCTCTCAGCGAGCAGGGCCTTGGTTCAAACCCCAGTCCAGGGGTCTTTCTGGGTGGAGTTTGCATGTTCTCTCCTTGCATGCGTGGGTTTTCTCCGGGTACTCCAGTTTCCCCTCACAGATCAAAAACATGCATGTTAGGCTAATCGGTAACTCTAAATTGTCCCTAGGTGTGAGTGAGAGAGTGAATGTTTGTTTGTCTTGTTTGTCTCTATGTGGCCCTGTGATGGACTTGTGACCCATCCAGGGTGTACCCCGCCCCTCGCACAGTGATTGCTGGACATGGGTACCGGCGACCCTCATGACCCAAAATGGAAGAAGCGGATAAAGATAATGGATGGATGGATGGATGGAGTTTTAACTAAATTTGGAAACTGCTGATGGGTACCAGCAGTCCAAGCGACATGTGGCTCGGGTGGTCGCCGAGACAAAAACTCAGGCATGGGAGGAGTTCAAAGAGGCCATGGAGAATGACTTCCGCACGGCTTCGAGGCGATTCTGGTCCACCATCCGGCGTTTCGCGGGGGAAAGAGGTACACCACCAACACTGTTTATAGTAGAGGTGGTGTGCTGCTGACCTCAACTCGGGATGTTGTGGGTCAGTGGGCAGAATACTTTGAAGACCTCTTCAATCCCACCAGCACATCTTCCACTGAGGAAGCGGTAGGGCTGAGTACAGAACCGAGGTTCTTTTATGGTAGTGTATGTATGGAAACGTCACTCTTCTTTCGGTGTCAAGTTTCGGTATTGGCTGTAACGTGTCATGTGGTTTCAGCACGCAGGCAGGTAAAACACCAGACATATGACAAACAAACTACACCCAGATTACACCCAGAGCTGTATAGAGCTGCCGTACCTAATCTATGTATAATGTATGTCTATGGTGCTGGTGACGCCCACAGACTGGTTCACGTGTGCAGCGCGTGTTGTCGAACGGCTCAGACAACACGCGAGCAGAAAGTTGCTCCGTGTTTTTCTGCGAGGAGAGAGGAGTTCAGCAGCCTCCCCCTCCTCCTCTCAGCATTAAAGTCAGCCTGTGAGAGCCTGAATGTCCTGATTCATTATCTCCACGACCTGACTCTTCATCAAAGAACTTCGAGGACGGCTCTGTGTCTGTGCTTCAGCTGATGAGTTTACATTTGTTAACATAACTGCAGCTTAACACGTACATCGCGGTGAATTAAACTATGATCCATGTAACGCCAACTTTTTAAGAGTGTGTGTAAATTTATTTTATGGGTATCTATGTAGCTAGCTAAAAATCAGAATCTAACAAAAGATTGACAGTAACAGATGAAGCTTAGCTTGTAAAAATGTGCTCATCCATCCAGTCAGCTGCTTAAACAGTTCACTAATGTTCACTGTATATGTTCATGTTCTCCTCACAGGAGCCTCTGACCCAGATGCGAGGAGGACAAAAGAAAAGCGAGGTGGGGGCCACAGGACAGTCAAACTTTGTTAAAAGTCTGCTGCTTTTTCTACAGTGGAGCTGCACGGTGGAGGTAAGGAAACTGTAAAGGATTTTGTTGACCAGTTAAGCTTTTATCTCTCAGCTTAGATCATGTTTTTTGAGTAATACAAACCGGATTCCAAAAAAGTTGGGACACTAAACAAATTGTGAATAAAAACTGAATGCAATGATGTGGAGATGGCAAATGTCAATATTTTATTCGTAATATAACATAGATGACAGATCAAAAGTTTAATCTGAGTAAATGTAACATTTTAAAGGAAAATATGTTGATTCAAAATTTCACAGTGTCAATAAATACCAAAATAGTTGGGACAAGTAGCAATAAGTGGCTGGCAAAAGGAAATTGAGCATATAATGAACAGCTAGAAGACCAATTAACACTAATTAGGTCAATTGGCAACATGATTGGGTACAAAAAGAGCTTCAAAGAGTGTCGGTGTCTCTCAGAAGCCAAGATGGTAAGAGGATCACCAATTCCACCATTGTTGCGCAGAAAGATAGTGCAACAATACCAGAACGGTGTTACCCAGCGTAAAATAGCAAAGACTTAAGTTATCATCATCAACTGTACATAACATCATTAAAAGATTCAGAGAATCTGGAACAATCGCTGTGCGTAAGGGTCAAGGCTGTAAAACTCTACTGGATTCTCGTGATCTCCGGGCCCTTAAACGTCACTGCACCTCAAACAGGAATGCCACTGTCAAGGAAATAACAGAATGGGCTCAGGAATACTTCCAGAAAGCATTGTCAGTGAACACAATCCACCGTGCCGTCCGCCGTTGCCAGCTGAAACTCTACAGTGCAAAGAGGAAGCCATTTCTAAGCAAGCTCCACAAGCTCAGACATTTGCACTGGGCCAGGGGTCATTTAAAATGGAGTGTGGCAAAATGGAAAACTGTTCTGTGGTCAGATGAGTCACGATTTGAAGTCCTTTATGGAACACTGGGATGCCATGTCATCCGGACCAGAGAGGACAAGGATAGCCCAAGTTGTTATCAATGCTCCGTTCAGAAGCCTGCATCACTGATGGTATGGGGTTGCATGAGCGCTTGTGGCATGGGCAGCTTGCATGTCTGGAAAGGCACCATTAATGCAAAGAACTATGTTCAGGTTCTAGAACAACATAATGCTCCCATCTAGACGTCATCACTTTCAGGGAAGACCCTGCATTTTTCAACACGATAATGTCAGACCACCTTCTGCAGCAATCACAACATCATGGCTACGTAGGAGAAGGATCTGGGTACTGAAATGGCCAGACTGCAGTCCAGATCTTTCACCTATAGAGAACATTTGGTGCATCATAAAGAGGAAGATGCGACAAAGAAGGCCCAAGACGATTGAACAGTTAGAGGCCTGTATTAGACATGAATGGGAGAGCATTCCTATTTCTAAACTTGAGAAACTGGTCTCCTCTGTCCCCAGATGTCTGTTGAGTGTTGTAAGAAGAAGGGGGGGATGTCACACAGTGGTAAAAATGGACTTGTCCCAACTTTTTTGGACTTTGTTGACGCCATGAAATTTGGAAACAACAGATTTTTCCCTTAAAATGATACATTCTCTCAGTTTAAACTTTTGATCTGTGATTTGTGTTCTATTCTGAATAAAATATTAGATGTTGGCACTTCCACATCATTACATTCAGTTTTTATTCACAATTTATTTAGTGTCCCAACTTTTTTTGAATCCGGTTTGTAATAACACAACCATGTTATTGTTGATGTTTTGTTCTAATGTCAATTAGGGAGATGATCAGAGCCCTAAACCCCAGAGAACCACAGAGAAGATTCAGGCAGAGACACAGAGGTGCAGATGTCTGCATCATCCCTACCTCAGTGAATCCAGTGACCTGCTGGTGGAATGTGAGGGACAATATGTCAGTGCTATCAAACTGACAACCAGGTATGTGTGTGTGCAACAATCATCATCTACAGTCTCAGAGTGAACATTTTCTACTGCTGGAGACACCATCAGCCAGGAGTGGGCTTGTTTGTGTCCAGAGAAAGCAGACATATTGATGTTTCTGAAGAAAAACTGTTAAGTGAAAAGGTCCTCAGTATGTAGCAGTGAGCATTAAACACTGACATGTCACTGGTTTGTAACTGGTCTTTTGACCTGGAAATTATTTGTTTGTTTTTATGTAAGAAAACTGCTTGGAATAGGCAGCACGGTGGCGCAACTGGTAGGGCTGCTGCCTCTCAGCGAGCAGGTCCCTTGTTCAAACCCCGGTCCAGGGGCCTTTCTGGGTGGAGTTTGTAAGTTCTCTCCGTGCATGCATGGGTTTTCTCCGGGTACTCCGGTTTCCTCCCACAGACCAAAAACATGCATGTTAGGCTGATTGGTAACTCTAAATTGTCCCTAGGTGTGAGTGAGAGAGTGAATGGTTGTTTGTCTCATTTGTCTCTATGTGGCCCTGTGATGGACTTGCGACCCATCCAGGGTGTACCCTGCCCCTCGCACAGTGATTGCTGGACATGGGCACCGGCGACCCCCGTGACCCAAAATGGAACAAGCGGGTTAAGGAAATGGATGGATGGATGGATGCTTGGAATAGAAAAATACCAAAGTTAAAAAATAAAACTCACAATTTGTACTGTAATGTGTAACGTAATTTTATTCTTGTTAGAATTAATAGTAATTACAATACTGGTACCGAAAAAAGAACCGTCCAGGAACTGACACTGAAGTGAAAGTACCTTTCTAAAAAAAATTGGCATCAATACCAATTGTTTTAGAAAGGTACCCAGTCCTAGGAAGCAGAGCCTGGGGACTCTGGGTCGGCCCTCCAATCTCTGGTGCTGAGGTCACCGAGGCGATTAAAAAGCTCCTCGGTGGCAGGGCCCCAGGGGTGGATGAGATTTGCCCGGAGTTCCTTAAGGGTCTGGATGTTGTAGGGTTGCGTTGGCTTACGCGACTCTGCAATATTGCGTGGACATCGGGGGAAGTTCCCCTGACAGCAGACCAGGGTGGGGGTCCACCTATTCAAAAAGGGGGACCATAGAGTGTGTTCCAACTACAGGGGAATCACGCTCTTAAGCCTCCTGGGTAAGGTCTATTCGGGGGTTCTGGAGAGGAGGGTCCGTCGGATAGGCAAACCTCAGATTCAAGAGGAGCAGTGCGGTTTTCGCCCTGGTCGTGGAACACTGGACCAGCTCTACACTCTCAGCAGGGTCCTGGAGGGTGCGTGGGAGTTTGCCCAACCGGTCTACATGTGCTTTGTGGACTTGGAGAAGGCATTCAACCACGTCCCTCGGGGAACCCTGTGGGGGGTACTCGTACCGGGCCCTTTGATATGGGCTGTTAGGTCCCTGTATGACCGGTGTCAGAGCCTGGTCCGCATTGCCGGCAGTAAGTCGGG